CCCTGAACAAGACAAAAAAACCAGACTGCCAGACATACAACATTAAAGTGTGCCAATCAAAAGCAACAGTAGTTTTTGCACATGGTTCTAAACTTTTGTAAAAAGACAAAACAAAACAACAAAAATCAGTCTCTCACTAGAATGTTTCATCAAAATTGACACTGTCACACCAGTGTGTATGCATGAGGGCGGGTGTTCACTGTGTACTTTCTGTCTTTTTTCACTCTATTCATCTTCTTTTTTTTCTCTTTCTATAAACCTGTTCGCTTACCCTTTTTTGACTTTCTTTTTCCTCCTAGATTTTTTCATCATTACTTTTTCTTTTGTTTTTTGTTTAGATGTGTCTGTGTGTGAGCTGTAGAACATAGTAATATCATTGTACTTACAGTTTGTTTTCTTTTCTTTTGTTTTTTTACTATCCTTATGTCTTCATTACTTTTTTTCCATATTCCTTTGGTGATTCCTCATCTGAATGTTTTCTTTGCCTTTCCACTGTAAACCTCATCCAGTGTCCCTCATGCTTGGAGGTCCTGGTCACTGCAGCAATTTGAGCTTATGCTGTATACTCTCTCATCTTCTCCCGAATGGGGGCTGCTAGTTGTTTTGGACAGTAATGAACGTCATCTACACAGAGAATGTTAACCTAGATATTTTATTAATGTTCATGTAAACATGTTCTTTCTATCCAGTGGAGGTCATTCCCTCCCACTGGGGAGTTGTTTCAGACATGAAAGAAAATATGTCTGCATTGTTTGATGGTTAAAACTCAACTCTCTGAAAAACCTATCTATCTCCTTTCCCACACTAGCTCAGCCAATCAAAATTGACTTCCTTATTTTCTCTTGTATTTGATCCTTTAGGTTAACCTCAGGAAGTCAGAGCAGAAATACATTTCCCACTGAACTCTGAATTCCAGATCATGGAGAACGCAATGGAAAACTACTATCTTATTCAAGAAGTCTTGTTAATTCACAGATAATAAAGAAGCGAAAACTGTAGAAAGCCATGCTCACCTACATTCTGAAAAGACATTATATTATAAATATAATTTTATGATACACAGTGCAAATTGCCTGGTCAGTGTAGTTTATTAATTCACTTCAATCTTACTCCAGAACATGATATATGTTAATGGTAATGGTATTAGTAATATTAGTCATCTCCCGATAAGAAAAAAATTTGTATTCATTGACCAAGCAGCTAGTGCTGCTTTGAGTTGAAATTTATAAAATTTTTCTTTTAAAACAATTTTTCAGGAAAATATATTTCTCAAGTACAGTAGCTGTTATTGCTTTTTCCAGTATTGATGAGGACATCCTTACTTGCCTTTTATTTGAAGTAGCATGAAACATCAACATCTTGATTATATAATTATTTTCTCATCAAGTGATTTGTGCTATCCATTTTAGTTGTTGCTGATGGTGATAGTCCTCAAGTGATGTGGTTTCTGTTATTTGGTACAGTTCTTGGTTTGTCATTCAGTAGAATGAGTATACAATGTTCCAAAATGCATAGTTTTCACAAGACCTACAGGTTTCACTCACTCAAAACCATTTTTAACAATTGATCTTAGAAAGTGGTTGTAGATGACACTTTAGATATTTCTGAATGAGTTTGTCACCAATGACATCCATATGTAAGTCACGATCTGATGAGGCTATTTAAGACTATGACTCAAGTTTTCAGGTTAATGTTTTGGTTTTGTAGAAATTTGTAGTGTTGGGGGAAACTACCTCTAGTGCAGCCTATTCTCTGTTCAATTTCCTTATCTCCTTGTTAAATTTGTTATTACTGATCCATACCCTAAGGTATCTGAAGTGTTTAGCATTTACTAATTCCACACCCTGAATTTTTTATGATGGAGTCAAGGTATGTGCCATCACTGCTTTCATTACAATTCCAGATCATTGTTTTTGTTTTAGAAAGGTTTTATTCTCAAGTCCACTAAATGTTATTGCTCTTTCAAATATTGATGGGAGTTTCTTTCCAAACGTTATGTTTAATGTCATGTGGAAAGTCAAGATTTTGATTATATCATTATTTTATCTTCTAGTTATATGTGTTAACCATTTTAGATGTTTCTTCTTTTGAAAGTGTTCAAGTAAGGTCAACTGAAATTTAGAAATCTTTTTATGAAAACTGCTTTTCAGGAAATTAGACTTCTCAAGTCCACTAAATGTTATAGATCTTTCTAATGCTGATGGAAGTTTCCTTCCAAATTTTGAGTTTAATGTAGTGTGGAAAGTCAAGATTTTGATTATATTCTTTATTTTCTCTTCTAGTTACATGTGTTACGCATTTTAGTTGTTTCTTCTTTTAGAAGTGTTCAAATAAGATCATCTGAAATTTATAAACTCTTTTTATTATAAGAGTATTGTTCAGGAAATTAGACTTCTCAAGTCCACTAATTGTTATAGTTCTTTCTAATACTGATGAGAGTTCTCTTCCTTACCTATTTATTTTTTGGTAGTGTAAAAAGTTAACAGCTTAATCATATCATTATTTTCTCTCCTAATTACATGTGCAACACATTTTTGTTGATATTACTGTTGAAAGTGTTCAAGTGATGTAGTTTTTGTTATTTGCTAAAGATCTTTGGGATTTTGTAGCATTAATCTATATGGTTTGGTAAAAGATGGTCTTCTTTATGTCGGATATTGGTTAAGGAAAGACCTTTGGCCTTACTTCCATTGAATCAGTGTGTGAGCAGAAATCAGAACTGGTGATAGCATAAACAGGAAATGCATCCAGTGGTGAAAATAAACAGGATGGACAGGTGTGCTGTACCTTAAATAAACAGGGTACACAGGTGTCCTGAGTGGAAGGAAATGCATGCTTGCATAGGCACATGCAAAGAGAGGCATAGCAATATGAAGTTGTGCAGTCATCCAAATGTTATATAACAAGTCTGATTCTTGATCTGAAAAGAGGCTGGATAGAGGTTCACCAAAGATTTGTCTGTCAATTACTATGTACGCAATCCTAACCTTTGTGATTCTCTCTCACTCTACCTAATTGCCACAACTCAAACAATGAAGATATTTATATATATTTTTATAGATATGTGTTCATCACATAATTTGAATCCAGCAACAATAAGGTTTAGAGAATTCGCTTGTTTGAAGCCATTTTTAACCACCGATCTAAGTTGTATACAGATGATAGTTTTGACATCTTTCAATGAGTTTGATGCCATCCATATGAAAGTCTAGACTGAATTAGGCTATTTAAGAATATTTACTTGACTTTAAGTCAAATTTCAGGTCAATGATGGCATTTAGAATTTCAGCATTCAAGCATCACACATTAGAAAATTAACATAATTAAAATTTTATCTGTTTGTCATGGAACAAAAACTCATTTGGCAAAAATGGATAACATTTTTTGGAATCAAAAACTTCAAATTAACCTATAAAGAAAAATAAATGAATGTTTAAACTTGAAGTGAAACTTTATTCAAAGCAATCTGAATATTGTGTGTAAGTGAGGTCTGACCATGTCTTTTATAGTCAAGTAATTCAAGGGGGAGACAACTACAGTTGTCTTTACCACATAGCCAAAACAATACTCAAATTTAAGTCACTAGAAAAAAGTTAAGATTTTGCTGGTCAGTGTAATATGTATGCTTGTTTATTAGAACTTTTATACAGGATATCCCTAAAGTCTTGACATATAGACAAAAATGCATATGTTCAAGAAATTAAATTTTCAACAATATTTTATTGAAAGGGAATATTAACAAATAAAATCTTCAATATGATTTCCATAATTTATAATGCAAAGGTTAATGCACTTTGCAAGAGTCATGTGAACTCAATGCAATAACTCCACATTGCTATCAATTTTAGCACATTCACTCTTTATGCGTTCAATCAAGTGTGTTGCATCTGTGATCTTCACTGAGTACACCTTCTCCTTTAGCAAACCCCAGAAAAAGAAGTCAATTTTTTCTTCTTTCGATAAAACCATGTTTAATTTGTGGAGGTAAAAAAATATAGTTAATGAGATTTTCTATGTGTCTAGACTCTAGGGACACCTTGCAGTATATCATATTTATTAGAACACTTATAACGTGTATATCCTATTACTTACAGTTCTTATCATGAGTATATTTTATTTGTCAATTCTCGTCTAATCAATATAACTTATTTATGACATCTCTTATAGTCAGTATAATTTATTCATTACAGTTATTGCAGTGAGTATATTGTTGCATCATTGCCTCTAGTTAGACTAAAAGCAATGGCAACAATATTTTGCACATGTAAATGACAGATGTAAGGAAAAAGAATGAGTTTCAACAAGGCGATATTATATTTTGTTTTTATGTAACTGAGTAACAAGATTGATTGAGTGTGAATATATGCTATTAGTTTCATTTTAAAAGTGAATTGTTATACAACATAAACATATAAGAAAAGGTTTAAATGAACCACAAAAGTCTCATATATAAAACACTTGAATATATATATATATATATATATATATATATATATATATATATATATATATGAATGAATGAAATGTTCATAAAATTGTGTATGTATTTCTTTGCAAAGGACTGGATATCTGAAATAAAATATGTTTTTACTTATCTTACGCTGATTGTCACAAGTCTGAATACGTACATTTTTCTAGTTTGACTGCCAAGAACTAAAGAGGATGTTTGACTTTCTGTTGTGTAGTTCTCGTGACAGTATTTTATTCTTGTAATTATATATCTATTTTTAGCTTTTGAAAGGGATAGTTGAGGGGAGATAGCTATTGTTTCTCGCAACAACAGCTTATCAATCTTTTTAAGGTTATTTAAAGAATTTTTTGGACATAACAATGATTTTCTGAAACAAGTCTTACTATTTAAGACATAGCTGGGAGGAGAATAGGTGATTTCATACCTTATTTGCACATAAGTGAATAAAATGAACCCAACTGAAATTTGAACTCGGCTCTCCGATTTCTCATTATGAGCCATTATCAATGACACCACCTGCACATCCAAGCTTACAGCACCTGGTATTCCCAAGCAGTCATCCATCTAGGTACTGACCAGGTTCAACTTTGCTTAACTTCAGTGATCAGATGAGGACTGGTATTTCAATGTTATATGGCTGTAAGCCCACAGTAACAAGAGAAAGAAAATACACTAGTATGCATTCAAAAGAAAGAAGACATTTATATAATATATATATATATATATATATATATATATATATATATATATATATATATATATGTATATGGATGCATGGTGGAGTAGTGGATATTAGCTCGGATTGAGGAATCGGTGAGCTGAGTTCAAATTCCAGTTGAATCCATTACATTTATTTACGTGCTAATACCTTTCTTCTCCCACCAGCTATGGGTAAATAGCAGGACAGACCAGGTTCTATAGCCTTGGATGGCAACTGGCCTAGGAGAAGGACAAATCTGAATTCAAAACCTGCGTAAGGTTGTTTGGGACCTTGTGGCACATAGCGTACCAGGTCACTCTATTTGGTCCTTCACAAAGCCTTCACTACTATAATCAAATCATATGTGTTGGTGCCTGGCTGTTGGTACATAGGAACTGAGCTGCTTGACCCTCATATATATATATATATATATATATATATATATATATATATATATATATATATATATATAAGGGGTGATTTTATAAACAGTGGTTGCTGCTGCTAATGCATTGCTCTTCAACCAGAATCAAGATCTCCTAGCCACTGACGTCTTTTGTATAGTAAAGACTTTAAATTTAAAATTTTCCTTTCTTTCTGCTGTGCAACAATAGCTTGGGGGTAGAATCTCTGACTAATGCTAAATCAATCGGGTTTCAATCCCAGCTTGACGCAACTGGATGTCCAACAACACTGATGAGCTGTGATACAATGAAACAGTCTGTCTGTAGATGACTATGTGTATATATATATATATATATATATATATTAAGAAATGGACAAGGTCCGACAATTTATTTATTAAAGACATATTTTTATGTTTAACGTTGTTATTTTATAGATACAAGTATTTAAGCAAATGCTCTGTTTATGATAAACAGTATTAAATAACATTTACCGGCCTGAATGTCCGAGAAATTTTCATAGAAAATTTTCGTTCTTTGACAGGATTCGAACCTGCATCCTATACGGAACCGTCATATACGCTGACGTGCCTTTACCGCTTGAGCTACAAAGAACCAATCGGTAGACAAGGTCGAATTTACTGCTTATAAACTCCAACTTTCCATGAATCTCGTACATTCATAACTGCTCTGGCGTATCGAATGTAAACAAATGACGTCATATATTAAGAAATGGACATGGTCCGACAATTTATTTATTAAAGACATATTTTTATGTTTAACGTTGTTATTTTATAGATACAAGTATTTAAGCAAATCTCTGTTTATGATAAACAGTATTAAATAATTTACCGGCCTTTAATAAACCGGCCTGAAAATTTTTTTCTTTTATTCGAAACCATTTTCATAAAAACGTTACCTTTACCGCTTGAGCTACAAAGAACCAATTGAACCTGAAGGTCATCCTATAAACTCAACTTTCCATGAATCTCATATTTCATAACAATGTGTTAAAACAAAAAATATATATTTAATAAACAATTAAATTTTACTGATAAATAAACTCCAATTTCTTTAATATATAGAACATATGAAAAGGATTCATTTTAAATAAATTTGCTCGGCGTGATTAATTAATGCAGGTTGATTAAAGTCATTTGAAATTTAAACAAATGGCAGCACTGTGAATTTTCTTATATTAAGAAATGGACAAAGGTCCGACAATTTGATTTGTCGCCAGATTGGTTCTTTGTAGCTCATGGAAAGCGAGTAAAAGGCACGTCATTTATACGGTTCCATGATAGGATGCAGGTTCGAATCTCTGTAAAAGAACGAAAAATTTTCTATGAAAATTTCTCGGACATTCAGGCCGGTAAATGTTATTTAATACTGTTTATCATAAACAGAGCATTTGCTTAAATACTTGTATCTATAAAATAACAACGTTAAACATAAAAATATGTCTTTAATAAATATATATATATATATATATATATATATATTAAATTAATTGATTTAAAATATTTTTTTCGCTACACAGTTCTAACCATGTTTCAAAAATGGAAGCTAAAGAACACCGGATTATATATCTTACTGTTCTTTCTTTTTATATATATATATATATATATATATATAAGTTCAGTCACTAAGGGGGAAGACACTCCCATGCCTGGAAAGGTCACAGTGAGTCTGGCCACTGCAGCATGCTGGGCATAAAAGAAGGGAAACAAAATTGTCCCATTTGTATAGGTGCTTGACAGTACTATCTGATGCCGTCTTGACAAAACTGGTAAAGCTATGTGGGGATAACCCACACTATCTTATTTATTACAGCTCTTATAATGTGTATATCTTAATCTTAGTCAGTATAAGTTATTTGTTATGGCTGTTATAGTGGGTATATCTAATTTACTGAAACTCTAATAATGTCTATATCTCATTTATTACAGCTCTTCTCATCACTATAACTTATTTATTACAGCTCTTATAATGTGACATCTTATTTTCCAACAGTAGTAGCAATAAAAATGAATAGCACATGTAACTAGAAGATAAAATAACTGTTACCACTCCTGGAGTTTTTCTTCTGGTTAAAGACAACTCTATGAATTGACTTATGCTTGATAGTGAATTTATTTCCATCTCTACAGAAACTATTAAATACTGAAAGAAAAAAACAAAAGCATCATGTTGCGTATGCCAATACAAAAAAGTGTCTCAAAAAGCATGAAAATTTTGAGGGTGACTGATGTATTACAACCTGCCCTGTGCACTGACTAACCAGAAATCGAGAGTAGGTACAAGTCTTGCCAAGCTTCTTTTCTAAAGCAGGACTGCAGAGTTGAAGTCCTGCCAAATATCTTTTCTCAGTATGAGTACACAGTAACTCTGGTTTTGTTTTTTCCTTCCCAAAATATAGTGGTTACCATCTGATTGGTGCAGATTGGATTATGGGATACCTATCACTACTTAATCTCCTTACACCAGCCCCAAGATGGCTACAATAATGATATAATCAAGATGTTGACTTTCCACATTACCAAAACCAAAAGGGTTTAGAAGGAAATTTCCACCAATATGTTGAAGAGCTATAACAGCTAGTGGATTTGAGTCAAGGGGAGATAACTTTTGTCTCTCGCAACAACAGCTTATCAACCTTTTTAAGGTTATTTAAAGAATTTTTTGGACATAACAATGATTTCTTGATACAAGTCTTACTATTTCCTGAAAAACTGTTTTCAGAAAAAGATTATAAATTTCAATTGACAATAATGCTCACTGTTCAATTCATGAATAAAAAATGTTTCCTGTATGGAAACAGCTAATTTCACTATTACCATTGCCATTATTACTGCTCTTATAATGTAGTAGTGATTTTCCAAGTGTAGCTCAGATGTGGCACAAGGCTGAAAGTATGGGGCACCCAGTGAAGATCAACTCACTACTCACTCGTAATTGTTCTAGCAAGACAATCTTGCTAACCATTACACCACCTCAAGGTGCCCAATGATTTTCTAAGCATAGCTTAGATGTGGCACAAGGCCGAAAGTATAGATCACCCAGTGAGAATTGAACTCACTACTCAGTTGTAACTGTTTTAGCGATACAAGCTTGCTAACCATTACACCACGTCAAGGTGCCCGCTATTATAATGTAGTATATCTTATAATGATTTTCCAAGCATAGCTCAGATGTGGCACAAGGCCAAAAGTATGGGGTGCCCAGTGAAGATCGAACTCACTACTCAGTGGTAAGTGTTCTAGCGAGACAAGCTTGCTAGCCATTACATCACCTCAAGGTGCCCAATGTATATATCTTATATATTACAATTTTGATATTAATTATATCTTCGGTTTAAAATTCCAATATATATCTCCTGAAGAAGGCTGGAGCATACAACAGCTGAAATGTCATGATAATGACAATAAAGATGAGGACAACAGTATGAAAAATGTAAATAGTGTAAATAGTTACAATACCTCATCTCAGAAATATAGATAGATCCTGAAGAAGCAAACTTATTTGATCCTATTGAGTAAAAAAGATTAATAAATAAAATTTCAGAGTTTAAGCGGAGACAGTAGAAGTATAGAGTGGAAGTAGACTTTAGAAAGAACCAGAAACCCAATCCTTAACAGGAAACAAGGGATAAACCTCTACTCCTGTTCAAAAGACCAGGGAAGAGTGTGAACTGGGTGATAAGCAAACCTATCTTATCCTATTGAGGGAAAAAAATAATAAATAAAATTTCAGAGTTTAGGCGGAGATGGTAGAAGTATAGAGTTGAAGTAGACTTTAGAAGGATTAATTTAACATGTGCTCATCACATAGGTGACCATTTGCCTTCCCCTGTCTATTTTACCGTCAATATGTTCAGTAAATATCAAATTTTTCAATCCCTTCTTCTTCATTAAGTGTCCAAGAAACTTCAGCTGGGTCATTCTGATGTGTTCTTTTCATTTTAATTTTCCTTAAAACCTCTTCATTGTTTATGCACTCTGTTCATGGTATTCTCAACAACCATATTTCCATGGCCTCAACTTTCCTCTTCATGTGTGAGGAATTTTTCACTGCCGTATAAGAGGACTGAGATTACCTACCAGTTCAGCATTCTTTTCTATGTTTTTTAATGACATTTTTCTGTTTTCTAGTATTTTGCATAGTTTTTAGAAGGCATCTTTTGCTATTTCAGTTTGCATTTAAATTTCAGTGTCGCATTTTCAAACCTATGTTGAAACACTTTGCAGATATTTCAACTTCTGATTTAAGTTTCTGACGACTGAAGCTTAAAATGAACATTTCAATGTTCTGAATAAATTGCATTGACTAGAACTTTCCAAAATACCCTTTTGAAGCAGTGTCTCAGAGGCCAGCAAAAATGGCGCATTTTAAACTTAATATCCTTTATCAAATGTTTGTTCTCTAAAACTTTGTGAAGATAATCAAGATTGTTCTACATTTTTAAAAAGAAATATTTATAATATGATACATGGTACAAATATTTTAAAAGGATTTTAATATGATACTAATTAAAAT